ACTGCCTTGAAGTTGTTGTCGATATCTGCCTGCTCTTGTTCAATCTCTTCGACTGTGCCAGATTCTTGACCGGGCTTGTCCTTCTTCGTTTCGACAGATGGCAGTGCGTCAGCCTTGTCGGAGCCCTTGGTACCCCACGAAACGTCATGCAAGTTGCAAAAAGCATAGACGTTGAGGATGTTGACGAAAGAAGGTGCGATAAGCATGTACTGAGGGAATGAGGTGAACATGTGCCATGGGTCGGCGTAGAGCACCGAGGCAACCAGGTAGATACCAAAGGTGGCTGCCAAGGCTGCGAGCAATACCGCCTTGTCAGGACTCAAAAAGAGATCCTTTAGCACAGCTCCAGCAGATTTGCCATCAAAGTTGAGACTGGTGATCGAGTTGACGGTCAACCAGATGGCTACAACTATGAGATAGGCTCCCAGGATGGCAAAGACGGCGATCGATATCATGTACGTATTCTTTTCTCCTTTTGGTCGGTTGCCCAGAGCAAGCACGAATTGCAAGACGACAAAGAAAATGTAAATCCACTGGGCAACCATATTGACCCAGTGAAAGACGGTCTGCAGCGTCTCGCTGTCTTCTTTGAGAATGACGTTGGGCAGGAAGGCGATGATGATGGAGAAGGTGAGCCACAAGTTGGCGAGTGCAAACCAGGAGAAGAGCAGGTTGAAGGCGTTGTAGAGTGCTTGCAAGTGAAAGAAGAAGAGCCGAATGATGCCGTGATTCGACTTGTAGATCCTGAAGAAGTGTACCAGAGAATAGATGGAGGCTGCAAAGGAACCATTGAGCCATCGACGACGCTGAGAAATGAGCTCAGCAGCTCCCTCGGGTACGTCGGTTTCTCCCTTCGCAGGCTTGACATAGGACAGCGTCCACTTGTCTCCCGCCTTGGCCACTAGCTCGAAACACAAGATACGGTCCTCGGCCAAGAACATGTTCTTGGTGAAGATGTCCATGCCATGTAGACCCTTCTTGCCTAGCCTATCCGCCATGGTGTGATCACCATGGAAATACTGGTTGAGTGGACGACCCTGAATGGCGCGGAATCTGTAAGCGCTAAAAGCACCAGGCAGTACCGACACGTATCCGAAGGATGATTCGAGCGGCTTGTCCAGAATGCTGGCAGCAGGAAGAGAAGCCATCGTTAAATGTGTCCACAAGGAGGCGCAA